ACCCTGAAAAGAAAATGGTCTATTCTAAAGAATTTGTGAAGCACAATTTATAATTTTGAATTTCAAGGATGAAAGATAAGGAAAGAAACTGAAGGTAAGTGGAATGGAATGTATTTTCTTTAAGTTTATTATTAAGGTGAAACATAGAGAGTGATCAGATTAGACCAGTGGAAAATATTCAAAAAAGAAAAAATGAAGGCTTATTGACTGAAGAAAAAATATTTATTAATAGAAGTTCTCAAAAAAGTGAAATTGACAGTTTTGTAAAGATCCCTGTTGAAGGTTGTCAATGAAGTTCTGAATCACCACTCTTCCCCTTGCCCTTGATGTTCGAGTATTCAGTACAATGAATGATCTTTCATAGTTTGCACTCCTTTCCAACTTGGATTTAATAGTTGTTATAGTAAATTTAAATTTTGTATTCTGTTTGATTCTGAAAATGGTGATTTAAGTAAAATCTAGACAAGTAAGATAAGCTAAAAACTCTTCCACAAACAAACAAACAAACAAACAAAATCCCACTTTTTTGTAAGATTAGCCAAAATATCTTCCACAAACAAAACCCCACTTTTTATGACTATATATATATATATATATATATATATATATATATATAAAGGTGTGTTTGTTTTTTTTGAGAGACAGAGACAGAGAGAGAGGGAGAGGGAGAGGGAGAGGGAGAGAGAGAGAGAGAGACTGTGAGCACATGCATAAAAGCCAGTGGGGAAGGGGCAGAGAGAGAGAAAGAGAGATTGAGAGAGAGAAAGAGAATCCCAAACAGGCTTCGTGCTGTCAGCACAGATCCTGACACAGGGTTGAACTCACAAACCATGAGATCATGACCTGAGCTGAAGCCACACACTTAACTGACTGAGACATCCAGGCACCCCTATGATTGCATATTGTTTATAGAAAGGTCAGATGTTTGATATAGAGTGAGAAGAAAGGGTATATTTGGATTTATACACTTACAGGTATAGAAGCTTATGTGTAGATGCATAACTATAAACCAGAGTTTCTAGATCCCAGTACTATTGATATTTTGGACCAGCTATTTCATTGTTGTTGGGGCTGTTCTGTGCCCTGAAGAATTTGCAGCATCCCCAGTTTCTACCACTACATGCCAGTAGCATCCAACCACACCCAAGCCTTGACAGTTGACCACCTGTCTAGATATTGTCAATTGTCTCCAAGATTCCAAGAGGCAAAATCACTCACAGGTTGACAACTACTGATACGGATGCGCTAATAGGTTTATAGTTTGTTTCTCTTGTGGTGTGGAAAGTGGATGAGTAGAGACAGTAGAGACAGTTAAAATGTAGGATGGCCCAGAGAGAACCACTAGATCTTCTTCTTTTGAGGAGTCTCTTTATATGTGCAGATGCTTAATCCTGGGATAAGAATGTGTGACCATCTTTGCAAATTCCCAGTTCCCAAGACAGCACCTTGGCTGTGGCATGTGCTTACTTAGTGTCTGTGGAATTCAGCTAAGTTGCTGAAGGAATGTTTTGCAAACAAAGCAGTCAACACAAATGCATAAGTTATTTACAAACTATTGTAATTTTAGAACTATGTGCAGAGATGAGAAAAACTCAATTAGAAAAATAATGGGATTCTGGTTAGGTCAAGTGAAAATTTAATATATTTCCCCTGGAAGATGGGATGCAGGTAAATATATTTGTAGTTCTGTTCTTTGGATTAAATATAGTGTTAGAATTTTTAGGGCTACAGAGTTTCTGGGACTAAAAAGCTGGGAGGGACTATGTATGCAAGGACCAAAGCACTGGAGGTCCTGATATTGTTTCTTTAACCCTCCACATCCTGCAGGTGGGGTGTGTGGTCTTCCTAAGTTTGCTTCAAGAACCAGTTGTCTTTATAATTTACATATATATATTTTAAAAATTTATTTATTTATTTTGAAAGAGAGAGAGATAAAGTGTAAGTGGGAGAGGGGCAGAGAGAGATGAGAGCGAGAATCCCAAGCAGGCTCCACACTGTCAGCACAGAGTCTGAAGTGGGGCTTGAACTCACGAACCAAACCAGGAGATCAAGACTTGAGTGGAAATCAGACGCCTAACCAACTGAGCCACCCAGGTGACCCTAGAGTTTATATTCTTTTAAATGGAAGTTTATGGAGTTTAAATGCAAGTCCTTCTGAGATGGCAATTGAATGCAAGTGCAAAAGGAGGCAATAGAATAGGTATTTTCCCATTTGCTTGATTCCAACAAGATGTACCTACATGAGAAGTGTCATTGACAGTGGACTACCCTGTGGAAGAAACAAGGTGAGAAGGAAAGGCTGGGCAAGACATGATGCTGAGTCCTGCAGAGCACCTCATTTTCTGCTATGTTCTAAATCTTTTTCTGAAATGTCAAGAACTTGGAGCAAGTGTCCTTCTGATCACTTGCCACTAACCGAACCTAACCAGATCACCGTATAGAAAATCATACAGGATAACAAGTCTGAGGAAGGGGCCAGGGAGGGAAAAAAGGAGTCTGAGGAATTCTGAAAATCAGTATTCAACTCTAGTCTTTACTGTATTATGGATAGGGATGAATTTTGTAATTTTTTGGTGATAGAGATGCAGAATTGAGGTTCCTTGAAAGGTATATTTTTCCCATGAATTCTTTGCTTATCCCAGTCACTTTTAGGATATCAGGATATTTTGCTGTGGAGTGCTGAGTTGTGTTGCACATGGAATTTTGTAATTGAGGTAATGTATGGATGGTATTGAGGTTATACACACACACACACACACACACACACACACACACACACGTATGTATGTGTATGTATCTATACATCTACATGTATGTATATACGTATCTGATCCAAGTGCTAATTATAGGTGTCTTCTTGAAAAATGACAGTGGTTCAGCTGAGGCTTTGAAAATCAATCAAAAAATTAGAGAAAATAGGGAAAGAAGTCATACATAGTACACATTTCTGGAATGTGGTAGAAATTTGAAGGCTAAAAATAAACAAGCAAGTGCTATTTTCTGTATCCTGGTCATTAAAAAAAATTATTGATTTACTTTGAGAGAAAGAGAGAGAGACAGTGTGAGTCGGGGAGGGGCAGAGAGAGAGGAGAAAGAGAATCCCAAGCAGGCTCCGTGCTGTCAGAGCAGAGCCTGACTCGGGGTTTCATCTCATGAAACATGAGATCATGACCTGAGCCAAAATCAAGAGTCAGACACTTAACCAACTGAGCCATTTAGGTGCCCCAATCCTGGTCATCTTTTGATCTTCAGTAGAAAGACTATTTATTCAGTGTGGCATCAAAACACCTTGCTACATTTCTTTCTCTCAGATGTGGCTGCGATTTGGGTTTATACTTTAACTTCCACTGATCCTGAAATCTGTCTTGTATAAAATGTGGACCAAACACCAGCTCTGCCCAAAGGTTCCAACATTGAAGGGACAGTGCTTCCTCTAGAATATCATTAGTAAAAAAAAAAAAAAAAAAAAAAAAAAAAAGTAGTTTCAAGAAATCTTGGCAAGTGCTATGACATATGTCTGCATATAGGAGCAAAGAGGAAGATCATTCAATACAGACAGTAGCAGCAAGGAAAAGCTTGCTTACACTCAGGTCTGTAAAGGAAAGTTTTATTAACTGAGAATTAAGGGTAGCCAGAAAATATTACTGGCATTAGAAAGGACACACACTTTCCTCTTTTATATGTTGAGAAGGCAAGTATGATAGAGTAATTTGGAAGAAAGGGGACATACATATTGTATTTCAAAATCACAATGAGCATTTTTGTAAAAGACTGAGACCTTCTGTCAACCGGGTAATCTTGGGAACTTTGAATGAGTAGAGTGGAATCTACATATAAATAGGGGTAAAAGTTGATTTGTGTGCTACTTTATGTCATGACAGTGTCAGGAATTGAGAGCGGGCTCTTGCTGTAGGTATCTTAAAGTTATTCACTCTTCTGCTTCTGAACTAAATGTGCAATGAACAATAGTGGTAGGAGAAGGAAAAACTGGTTTATAAAATTGAAGGAAGGCACTGGTACCTCATGATATGAAACTCTGATAAGATCTGCACTGGAAAAAAAAGTTTCGTTTTTGGTTTAACTGAGGCATTCTGTTTTCTCATCCAAATAAACTGCAAGACACTTACATAGCCACAGAAAATGAGACAGAAAAGGAGGGCTGCCCTACTCCCCAGGACCTCAGTTTGCTTGGTACATGGAAGAAGAACATATAAGAAGATACACGCATATATAGCACAGTTCTCCAAACTTATTAATAGTCAGTGTCCCAGTGAAAGTGAATGAATTATCAGATGTTGAACTGCGTCTTGGGATCTGAGGAGGATTGAACAAAAGGGTGGAGGAATGGAAGTTGAGGGTGAGTGGGAAAAGCCTGGCAGAAAGTAGCAAGGATTCCAGAAAGGAGATAGGAGTTATTTTCTTCCCTATTGGCAGAGGCAGCTATTTTACAAAAGAGAAGAGATCAGGAGTGACAGGTGCACCTGAGTGGCTCAGTTGGTTAAGTGTCTGACTTGGGCTCAGGTCATAATCTCAAGGTTTGTGAGTTCTAGCTTTGGGCTCTGTGATGACAGTATAGAGGCTACTTCAGATTCTTTCTCTCCCTCTCTCTGCTTTCTCCTGCTTTCTCATTCTTTCTCAAAAATAAATGAATAAACTTAAAAAAAAAGAGGGGCAGAATTTTTCTATTCCCCTCAGCCTTGTTATATATATTGAAGGATAGGAGGTTGTGAAGGCGAGTATCAGTTTTATGGACAGCACATGATTCTAGTGAGACGATTCTTTGGCAGAGTGAATTAAAATGCCATTCTTTAAATAAAACAAGAGTGTCCAAAAATAATGAGCTCATTTATCCCAAGCCATTATTGATTGTTCACGGTGCCTGGCACACCACAGCTACTTACATATTTGTTGGGAACGTCAAGGGATGAATGGCATGTTCTGCCAATCATTGACAGTATATAAAGGTCCAAGGCTAGTAGCAGACACACAGTTCACCACATCCTCTCGCAACCCACGTGAATTCTCTTCTCTTGACAACAACATGTGTTGCAACTACGGCAGCTCCTGTGGCTATGGCTGTGGATATGGCCCCTATTATGGCTGTGGTTATGGAACAGGCTATGGCTGTGGCTATGGTAGGGGATGTGGCTGTGGATATGGCTCCTGGTATGGCTGTGGCTCTGGCTGTGGATATGGCTCAGGTTACGGCTGTGGCTATGGCTCCTGCTGTGGCTATGGCACCAGATATGGCTGTGGCTGTGGCTATGGCTCTGGTTGCTGTGGCTACCGGCCATTTTGCTATAGAAGATGTTATTCTTCTTGCTGCTAGAACATCACTGTCCAAGCCACATTTGCTTCTGAAATGACACACCTTAATAGAGGGCTGAGTCAAGGATCCATACCCCAAGATTTCTGTATCCAAGAAATTGTATGCTTCACAGAGGCTTTAACCACTGGTCAGCTATTGTAGGATGGCATCTTGAGGCTGTATAGTATCATCTTACTTTTTTTCATATATTGGTCTTTACTTCCTTAATCTGGATTCTGCATTGTGACCGTGGCAACAATCCTAACACCCCGCAGTTGGGCAAATCCTTTATTCTCAATAAAATGGTTCTTTGCTTCTAACACGTCTCTGTGTTCTTGCTTGTGAATTACTCCTTTTTTCAGGTGTTATGGCTTCTCTTGAAAATTGGGCTGACAGTGTTTCATGAACCTGGGGCTCTTCCTTGATATAATGCAAGCATTTCTACTCATACGTGAATCAGAGAAAATGTCTTCTTCACCTTTCTCATATTCCTCTTGCTAAGGTCCTCAAAACCCAACACAAATCACATAGTATTTCAGAACTGTCACCTGGATATCACAGTGTATCTAGAATGGAGGTGGAGGGGGAAGATAAGGAGGAATGACATCTCTTCAGGAGGTTGTGACACAAGCTCAAGGGAGAGGAGGTGTGGCCTGAGTACTTAAAGGATGAATGGAGTGGAAGAGAGAGTTTCCAGGATTAATGAGAAATTAGAAATGGACTCAGGTGTCTAATGAACTAAGGAAAGGATAATTTAGAAGAAAGATGTGGTATTGTATCCTCTGTAATTTAATGGAAGTCCGGATGTATTTGTTGGCATATATTGAGAGTGAGGAAATTGATTTCAGTCACTTAACTCACAAATAGTTTAGGATGTTTATTAAAGGGAACTATCCTACATGCTGAAGATACAGGAGCAAAATTGTAGACAGGATTCCTGCTGTCAGAGCATTTCCATTCTAGTAAGTGAAAATTAAAAAAAAAAAAAAAGAATTAATTTGGATAAATTTAGAGAGATCATTCCTATGGAGGGAATAAAACAGCATCCTTGGGAAGAGAGTGCAGGATGAAGTATTGGAGAGTTAGTTCAAGGAGGTATTTTGACATTTTGTGTAAAATGAATTAATGCCCGTTGAAAGAAATACTAGAACGAACAGCTGTAGGTATAAAGAGGAAAGAGAAATTCACTAAGTTTTGGGTATGATCAGTGGTGCCACAATTTTTGGTAGAAAAGAGCAATGATCTAGTGCTTTAAATGAGCTTTCTTTGTTTGGGGCACATATAAGAATGAGATTAATAGTCCCAGTTGATTTTCTGAGTTTGAGGGCTGACTACTTTGTTAGGTTCTGACTTCAGTGTTCTATCCCTGTGTGATTTTCCAAATCTCTAACATTTGACCCTACATCAGAAAATGTCTTTTCAGACTCAATTTCCACCAATAGAAAAATGACTCATTGTCTCATCTCCATGACAAGGGTCACTGCACAAAGTTTGGATCTGAGGAACTTGGAGCTAGGAGACTAAAACATGGCCAATTCCAAGGAAGATGGCTCTGTCATCAAGGACAGCCCTGAAGTGAGGTTATGCCCAAGATATAATGTGTCTTGCTGATGAATTAATAAGGCTTCTTTTAAGGGTTGAATAGTTTTCATAGATAGGATATTTGTAAGTCATTTCTGGGGACTGACTGTGCTCTGGGTTAATCTGAGGTGGGTACCACTTACAAACAAACAGCAGAAAGGAATGCTAATAATTACAGTTTGTTAAAAATTTACTCATTGTTTCATTATATTCTTGTCTTTGAAGGCTTTCTGAAAGAGGGAAGAATATCAAATTAGGCATGTGTATGATAATTTACAAATCCAGTAAAGGGTTAATCATTTATTAGGTATATAAGATAATTTATACAACAGGAAAAATGTGTTCATAAACTGATGACTATCTCCAAATGTGAAATTTGAGGCTCACTCAAAGAACATTTGTGACTCTCAGCTTGAATGGATTAAGAACATTGTGATAATACATTGAATTATCTTATAACTACTAAATGCACACCAACGTTTGAACACATTTTTGTTTTAATTCATTTATAATTGGGGAAATATTGACTGATTTCAAATTATGTGCCAGGAACTCTACCTACTGGTGATACTGATGATTTCTTCTGCCGTGATGGATCTGTATCCAGAGATCTGAATGGAAAGGTACTAGAAATAATGCAATTAAAGCTAGAAAACTTTTCCAATAGTTCAGGAGTATTGTGACAAGAAAGAGGGTGTTAGAAAAACAAGTGTGTATTCTAGGGATTTTGTGCATTAGAGTTTATAGCTGTGAATTACAAGCATGGTAGAAAAGTAGAGAAAATTAAGTCAAAGAACAATTGTAATGGATATAGTTTCCTTAAACTTCCTTTAAGGGATGAATCACAGCAGAGTGATCAGATATTAGAAAAAGTAATAGGAAATACTGTCAAGTGAAGGAAAAATGTCTACTAAGGAAGGATCACAGGAAAGGAAATCAGCAGTTTTATGAAATTCCCAGTTGAAAGCATTTAATAAAAGACTGGATGTCACACATTTCTTTGTTGGGAAATTTTAGTGTGGAGTAGAGGGAATAATCTTCCTGAATTTGTACTCTCTTCCAGCTTGGATTTTATAGTTGTCACATTAAAAAGTAATGCAAATTTTGGATTCTGCCAGATTCATAAAACGGTGATTGATGTAAAGCCTAGACAATGAAGATAAGCAAAAACATCCCAAGAAACAACCATACAAACAAAAAACAGAGACAGCTTCCTCTCCCTTCCCTCCTTCCTTCCCTTCCTCCCTCCTTCTTTTCTTTCTTTCTTTCTTTCTTTCTTTCTTTCTTTCTTTCTTTCTTCCTGTTTTTTTCTTGACTTCATGTCTGGTGATGGAATGCTTCTATATTTGGTTTACCTGAAGAGAAAGGAAATATTTGGAATTAGACACCAATAAATAGAGAAGCTATAGATGCAAGGTTATAAACCAAGGTTTCTAGATCTCAACACTATTGGCATAGTATAGCAGATATTTCATTGTTGTTGGGGTTTGTTCTGTGGCTGGGATTAGAGTCTTCCCTCATTTCTCCCACATGCAGCTAGTAGGTATCTGCAGTAGGTATCTGGATGTCAGAATCCTGGCAAGATGTTGCAATGTTTCCAGGAAGGAGATGAAGTATTTCTTTTCTTATGGGCAGAGGTAGATATTTTGGGAATGTGGAAAGATCAAGGAGGACAAAACTTTTCAAAATTTACCTCAGCCTTATTATATAAAGTATGTTAAAAGATAGGATGTTGTAAACATGATTCCAGTTTTACCTAAAGCAAATGATTCTCTTGAAATATTTTTTTTTGGCAGAGTGAATTAAAATGCTGTTCTTTAAATAAAACTGGAGTCTCCATATTAATGAGCTCACCTTACCCAAGACATTATTGTTTGTTGACAGTGACTGGAACAACACAGTTGCTTACATATTTGTTGGGTAAGTCAGGGGATGAGTGACATGCTCTGCTAATTACTGACAGTATATAAGGGTCCAACGCAAGTAGAAGACACGCACTTCACCACATCCTCTCACAACCCACGTGAATTCTCTTCTCTTGGCAAGATGTGTTGTAACTACAGCAACTCCTGTGGCTATGGCTGTGGATATGGCTATGGCTGTGGATGCAGTCCCTATTATGGCTGTGGTTATGGCCTCCGTTATGGCTGTGGTTATGGCTCAGGATATGGCTGTGGCTATGGCTCCTGCTGTGGTTATGGCACCGGATATGGCTGTGGCTATGGCTATGGCTCCAACTTCTGTGGCTACCGGCCATTTTTCTATAGAAGATGTTATTCCTCTTGCTGGTAGAACATCACTGTCCAAGCCCCACTTGCTTCTGAAATGACATGCCTTAATAGAGGGCTGATTCATGGATCCATTCCCAAGATTTATATTTCCAAGTAATTGCATGCTTCATAGGAGTTTTGACCTCAGGTGAACATTTGTGGATGACATCTTCTGGCTTGAGGCTGTGTAGTATTATCTGACTATTTTCCAAATGTTAGTCTTTACTCCCCCAATCTAGATTCTGTGTTGTGACTGTGGCAATGATCCTTTCATCCCACATTTAACAAATCCCATATTCTCAATAAAAATGGTTCTTTGCTTGTAACACATCTCTGTGTTTTGTTTGTGAATTACTCTTTTGAGATGTTGTATCCTCTCTTGATAATTGGACTGATGACATATTTCATGAGTATGAAGGCTCTTCCTTGACATAATACAAGCATTTCTTCTCTTATGTGCATCAGAGAAAATGACTTCTCCAACTATTTCTTGTATCCCTAACACCACAACACAAATCACACAATATAAGAACTGTGTCCTTGAAATCACACTGTATTTACAATAGAGTTGAACAGGTAAGGGGGAGTTACAACACCTCTTCAGGAGATTGTGACACAAGTCGAAGGGAGAGGAGGTGTGGCCTGAGTGCTTCAAGGATGAATGGAATGGAAGAGAGAGTTTCTAGGATTAATGAGAAATTATAAGCAGCCTCAGCTCAGGTATAAAGAACTAAGGAAATGCAAAGTAAAAGAAAAATGTGGTATTGATCATCTGCATTATGAAGGAAATCCAAATATATCTGTTGGCATATACTGAGTTTGAGTAAATTGATTTAAGTCAATTAATTGACAAATCGTTTTGAATGTTTTTGAAAGGGAACTGTCTTACACCCTGAAGGCACGGTAGAAAAGTTATAGGTGAATTTCTTGCTCTCAGAGTGGTTCCATTCTAGTAGGTTAATTAAAAAAAAAAAGAAGAAGAATTAATCAGATAAATTTAGAGAGATAATTTCTATGGTGTGAATAAAACAGCATCCTTGGGAAGAGAGTGCAGATTTAAGTTTTGCAGAATTAATTTAAGGAGGTTTTCTGACATTTTGTTCAAATGAACTGATGTCACTTTCAAGAAAATACTAGAAAGAACAGTTGTAAATTTAAAGGGGAAAGAGAAAATCATGAGTTTTGGGTATGATCAGTGGTGCCACAATTTTTAGTGCAAAAGAACAAAGGCTAGTGCTTTAAATGGGCTCACTGATGGGGCAGATATAAAATGAGATTAATAGTTCCAGTTGATTTTCTGAGTTTGAGGGAGTACTACTTTGTTGTACTACTTTGTTGTAGACCTCCAACATTTAGGTCCTACAACAAAAAATGTCTTTCAGACACAATTTCAACCAGCAGAATAAAAA